AGAACGAATGAATTGCATATCCAGAAACTGACGAGGTCGACCCTGTTGTGATTTTTCTGTTATGTAAACAGATATATATATATATATATAGACATATAAGTACGGAGAAAGTACCGCAACAATATATCACGTAGTCGTTTTTATACTCTTTTTCACCCAAAGAGAGTGGTAGTAGTGGGGGGATTTCAGTGCGAAAGCGACATTGCGCAAATAAATCTTCGTGTGAGCAGTACATACCAAGCATTTGAACATCGGTTGACACAGTATGGGCGAGAGAACGCGGCATACGATATACATACATTCAAGTGGACACACACAGAATTACAACAAGACGTGCAGCGTTAATCCATCTATACTGTTAGAGATGCCCAAAGCAATTCACTGCTTTGCTGAGTAGCGACTGTGATTACTTGCGACAGTTGTAGTCCAAGCATCTCAAACTAAACAGCATATACTAGCAGCGCATATACGAAGTGTGAGCTAACAAGATGTAACAAGATGTACACACTAACAAGATGTACAACTCAAACATTATACAGCGTTGCACGCTTGATGGAACCGCTTGAGTTGGCTAGCAGTTGCCTGGGACTATTCTTATGATCAGCCTATTTCGCGCACATGGCAATTTGTGATAAACGTGTACAGCAAACAAAGTACAGGCAGACATACACAAGCCCTACAGCAGCATTGGTTCACACGTACAACAAGAAGTAATAAACACATGCGTTCCCAATAGAGTAATATTGATACACACGCACAACAAGAAGTACAAGACAACTGTATGTTGTACGATTACCGTGGCCACATGCTTGATGGAGCTGATTGAGTTGGTGAGCAGCGACTGCAGTTGGCGAGGATTGTTCATGTGATCTGCCCATCGCAAACACATGAACAGAATGTACGCAATGATGCCGTGCGGGCGACTGTCGAGCAGCTCACTGGGATCGACATTCACAATCAAATCCTGCACAAAGACAACGGCGACAGTAACGGTGTTTGCGTCAATGATGTGTGTGGTGGGTGTAACACATGCATGTGTGGGGTGATGTATATGTGACGCTCAATGTGTATGAGTGTATAGCTTAGGAGTCTGCAAGACACCGAGGAAGACTAACAAGGTCTGGCGCAACACACAAAAGGATACAACCCCGAGACTGAAGACAAGGAAGAACATGTGTTATGCCAGGCCATGTCTTTGTTCTATTTTTAGATTTGGGGAAAAGCATAAAAAGACTCGGGCTGACGGTGGTAAATTCTCAGGGAAATGTAGCCCTAATATATAATGAGAGCACAGAAAGCAGCGCTCACATTGTCAAATTCTATTTATAGATACGAGGTTACGGTGCGTAAAAATCTATTTATAGATACGAGGACACAGTGCGCAAATCGTGAGCTATTTATAGCTACGGTGGACTTCTAATTTCTAATTTTAGAGCAGACCAAAACAGTTCTGAGTGCATCTTACCTGTACAAGCGCACGTTCGTCTTTCTCCTCGAAAATAAACATCCCCACGGGCTCGTTGGCACCGACTCCAGGGTCAGCTATATCTGTACGCCACGGATTGAGTACACGCAATTCGGGAGTGAATATACAGATTACATGGGTAGAATAAACGTACTGCCATACAGTTATACACAGGCATGCAATCTGAAACGACGATCGATATGCGACTCACACAAGGTGCGCGCAGGAAGTAAAACTGAGAAAGAACAAACAGGATATGTAGTGTATAGGCGTGCGATGGCGGATACAGCCTTGGTTTATTTGAAGTAAAACATACACTACACTCAAGCATATTCAGAAAAAGACCCAGTGACGGAATACAAAAGGCAAGGCAACCTGTAGGCATGTAATGGCGATTACAGGCTTGGTTTCAATTTAAAAAACACATCAGGCATATCAATAGAGATAAATTAAACAAACAAGCGGTTGTATTGTTGAAAGGAGCTATATGCCCCACGCCCTCAGACAGCTACAATTCATCTGCATACATATATACCAGCGATACAACACACTTACACAGACACTGTGTACTGAACAACACCAATACACATACACACAACACTTCGCATTCACAGTATGTCACTGAAGAATTTCAACTTCAGAGATAGTACGAACCTGTAACATGTATGTCGGATCCTCCATCGCCTCCAATGTAGTCCTCGTGTGAGCTTTGAAGCACTCCGCTGGCCTGACGGGAGAGTGTAGCTTGTGCCGGGTCGCGGTCATCTTCGAGCTCCTTGTGCACAACCACAGCAGAATGATGCCTTCCAAGCTATCGGTATATGTATACATACGAATAGCAGACGATAACATAACACACACACATACAGTGATACGCAACCGCAAACATACGCATCCCACACACACACACACACATACATATATATATATAAATACGTCAAACAGACAGATAACATAGTAAACACACACAGTGATACGAAAAATACGCATCACACAGCATACACACACATACACACAAAGCGCAAGAGTAGAGGGTTATAGGTATTAGCAGAAAGCAAAACTTGAGAAACAGATGCGCAAAGCGATGGTACACGATGAAATGGATATCCTGCAGGGCAACGTCAACGACAACTGACTGAGCTCTGAGATAGATATACGCAATTGCAGATGTGCAACGCAGATGATTCGTGCAACATGAACGCACACCATATATATACATCTACATATATATATATATATATATATATATATATATATATATATATATATATATATATATATATATATATATATATATATATATATATATATATATATATATATATAC